TTCTATTATACTCAGGCGATGTGCCGTAATAGTTTTCTAGAGAAATGTGTCGAACAAAGTTGTCACGCTGTTGAGCGGCCCAAATCATTGTAAAAGATGACAATACGTACTGCAGAGTCTAGACTCCTTACAGTAGTTCCGCCCATACACCAATGGAGTCACGGTAAAATGGTCACGAACCATTGTAACGTTGTTTCTGCGCATTACATCACTTGAAAGTGGCTTGCATCTGTAAGGCACCAGTGAGGGGTCAAACAAGATACGCTTCTCACGGTATCTCGCTTCCAATACCTTTATTTCCAACTCTTATCGACAGCTACTTGCAGTCATGGCAGCTCACGCTACTTACCCCAGTCTGCGGGACAAGACCGTGCTCATTACAGGCGGTGCAGAAGGCATTGGCGCTGCTACAGTGGAGTTGTTCACGCTACAGGGCAGCCAGGTCATCTTCATCGACATCGCCGAGGGCTCAGCGAAAAAGACAATTGACCGTGCTGTATCGCGTGCGAAAGACGCCAACGTGCAAGCCAAAGCACCCATCTTCTACAGTTGCAGCGTTTCAGATTTACCAAGGCTACAAGACACGGTCGAGAGAATCCAAGATAAACATGGCATGATACATATCTTGGTCAATAATGCTGCGGCTGCTGGAAACAGAGCCAGACTCGAAACAGAAAATGTCAGGCCTGAAGATTGGGAAGTGAACATCAACACCAATCTTCGGCATGTTTTCTTCATGAGCCAAGCTGTTCTTCCGGCGATGAGAGAGGCAAAGAGCGGGAGCATCATCAATCTTGGGTCAATCACCTGGCGCATCCCCGCCCAAGGAACTCCAGGTACTTTGACATTCCTGTCTGGCTATTCAGTCTGCTAACACGTCAAAGTCTACGGCGCATGCAAGGCGGGAATCATGGGCCTGACGCGTACTCAGAGTAAAGAATATGGCAAGTACAACATTCGCATCAATAGTGTTATGCCTGGTGCCATTGCGACCCAGCGACAAAGGGATGAGGTTCTCACGCCCGAGTACCGCGAAGAGGTTATGCGCGGCCAGAGTTTGCAGCGAGATCTTGAGCCGGAGGAAGTAGCTAAAGTGATTGTGTTTTTGGGTAGTGATGAAGCTAGTGGGGTAACTGGTAGTTCCTATGTTGTTGATGGCGGTTGGTGTAGCGATCCATGAACAGTGGCTGGACCTAATCTTCATGCTGCAATTGAACATGCCTGTATATGATAAATAAGACTTATCAGGTTTTATCTGTGCGATTTCAAACTGAAACCTGTCGCGGAGGCATCGGCCGGTGAGGAAAGTTCCTGATCAAATGTCGGGCCCAAGATCCGAACCCCCTCATCTCAGTGGATCTACATCACTGCCAGCGAGCGGGGAACTTCACCCACGAACTGCATCAAGAGCTCAATCAGGTTCTCACTATACCCGCTACCAATTTATACTTCTAAGGACTCCTGTTCGAATATGGAGCCTTGGCGCCACACAGCGACACAAATTTTGGACAACATTCGTTCTGGTAGTCTCACAGTTGAGCAGTATGCTTCATCACTACTTGAGCGAATCAAGCAACGAGATGACGATGTCAAAGCTTGGGCATATCTTGACCCGAAAGCTGTTTTGGAACAGGCTAGAAAATTAGACCAGGTACCAAAGGATCAGCGAGGACCACTGCATGGCATTCCTGTTGGGATCAAGGACATCATATTGACCAAAGGCAACATCTTAAAGCATTCAAGTCGGAGCCTGTCGCTGACAAGTTATCAGATATGCCGACTGAACATGGCTCAACTATTTATAAGAATGATCATCCCGTAATCGACGCCGGATCGGTCATGGTTCTCCGTCAAGCAGGATGTCTCATCTTCGGTAAGTCAAGCCAGCCTTTCTAAACGCCAAGTTCTCATCATTTCCAGGTAAAACTACAACAACCGAGTTTGCTGCATCCTTCACAGGCCCAGCTACTCGCAATGCACACAGTACCTCTCATACCCCGGGAGGCTCTTCAGCTGGTTCAGCTGCCGCAGTAGCAGACTTTCAGATCCCCGTTGCTCTTGGTTCACAGACTGTAGGCTCTATTGTTCGTCCAGCTGCATTCAACGGCATCTACGGTTTCAAGCCTACATGGGGAGCCATCACAAGAGAGGGACAGAAGTTCTGTGCTCCAACTGTTGATACGATTGGCTTCTTTTCCCGCAGCGTTTCGGACTTTGAGACCCTAGCTGACGCCTTTGCTTTACACGATGACGAGGAGAGCACGTTTGGAGATATCAAGGGCTCGAAATTTGCCGTATATCGGACGTCGAAGTGGGATTTGGCTGGAGAGGGCACGATCGCGGCTATGGACAAAGCTGTAGAGCTTCTCAAAGCACATGGCGCTGGAGTCGAAGAGCTTGATCTTGGTCCAGACTTTGACCAAGTCATTGACTGGCACCTGACTCTCGTACGTCTTGAGGGTGCAACGAGTCTGTGGCCAGAGTATTACCGAGACAAAGACAAGCTTGATCCGGTGTTGGCGAAAGGTGTTCAAGAGAAGCATAAAATTTCACGACAGGCCCAGCTCGATGCTTATGATGGGCTTGCAGCTCTACGACGGCGGTTTGATAAGATGGCAGATAAGTATGTCGCCGTGCTAGTTCCGAGTGTCTTCGACGAGGCTCCTGAAGGCCTGGGGAATACAGGAAGCCCTGTTTTTGCAGCGACTTGGACGGTAAGTGAACAGGTGCTGGATCCTGGATTTTGTTAACATGTACAGGCGTTACATACACCAGTGGTCAATATTCCAGGTTTTCGTGGGAAGAGCAACTTACCTGTGGGGGTTTCTCTTGTGTCCGCGAGACTGCGTGATCGTCACCTCCTCAAGGTGAGCGAGGCGGTTGGTAATATCTTCGAGGCAGAGGGTGGGCGGAATAAACAGTCTAGGTCAGGTTAGTCACCTAGCCAGTTGTTGTCACCCAGGAGGTTTCTTGCCACGTTAGTCTGAGATATTCTGAATGATTCAGTTCTCATAGAGGTACAAAGAGGGGTGCATGATTGGAAGTCTTGTTGCTTGTCTAATTCTATGTGTCTATTTGAACAGTAAAGATGAAGCCGTCCCGTCTATCGTCGATGATCATCCTCCTCATCGTCAGACCCTATCAAGAACTCCTCTTCCATCCTCAACTCTTCCATCGGGATATCGTCATTCTTCAGTTTCGTGTAAACCTGTCTCTGCCTCCACGTCTTCAGCCTTCTAATTCCGTACACAACTGCAAGCACCAAGGCCGACACCACCACGGCCAAGATCCCCAGAGACCTCCACAATCTCCAGCCTTGTATACAACAAGGATACCAATACATAAAAACACCAACTGCCCACTCTTTCCAGCCCATCTTTCGCGCATGATCACGTACAAGACCCTTGCGAATCAAATGCTTGAAGCGAGGACCGTTGGGGCCAGAGTTGAAGCGCTTGAGACCAAAGTGCGGCACCGTTTCTTGCCGTGGGTCAGAGTCTGGATAGCTGATGTCACCCCAGTGGCCAGTAAAGTCGAACCACGAAGTGTAGTTCTGAGCGGCTTCGGTCGAAGACGGTTCAAAGGGTGAGATGATGGGAGTGATGGTAAAAGAATCGGGGTTAAACCGATAATAGTAGGCTGATTGAGCTGGGTTCCATAGCTTGCCTTCGTCACAGTAGTCGAACATTGCTGCGTTGTGAATTTGGTGGCTGTGGCTTGGTGAGTCAATGTTGGAGAATAGAACGATATTACATACCCTTTCTGCGGATAGTTGGCGTGTGAGCCGAGGGCACTGTACACGATAGGCTGGGATACTCGTTAGCTAGTGGAATCCGAGGGAGATGAACACTATCCCTACCCTCCCATCAGTGATGTTGACTGTCGAGTCATCCCATTTGAAACCAACACCGTCAATATGCTGGCTGTAGTAAATACCAACAGGGGTCCCATTGTGAAATCTGACCATATTGTGCTCCCTGACATCAAAGGTTAGAGGAACCACTGACCGTGAGTGGGAGCAGACTTACCAGTCTCCAACATGGTTGCCAAAGTGCATTCCCGATGATAAGTTCTCATCTCCGACTAAATGGTTAATGGGTTCCATGACTTGGGTAATGTTTGGCCCCTCATTGAATGAGTAAAAGTAAAAATAGAATGCATCAATGTCAACCTCGCTCTTCTCCACCAAGATCACGGCGCAGGGTACTGAGTTGGCTATCCGGCCAGAATCATCCGGTGCTTCACCCAGAATCCATTGAGGATAAGTGAGAGGATCTTCCTTGGCTGTGAGCGCAACATCTTCGCCACCGTAGCTATTGAGCTCCCCGAGATTCGAGAGGTCAATTAATGAAGGTCCACTAATCGGTTGCTCATTGAGTTTCGGTATTGTATTGACGATGTGAGCTGATAGGTCGCTAGGCATGAAGCGATCTTCTGGATGAAGCCATACTAATGGCGCTGCAATATTCGCTCAGTACTGAAGGCCATGACGGTGATCGATCGATCGATGAGATATTACTCACCATGATTAGCGACATAATCTGGACACCGATCAAGCCCCGAGGCTTCCGAGGCTGCCAAGACGTAACCAGCGTCAAGGCAGAGCAGAAGCAGCGTCGTTGGTATCAGCGAATGTATTGACGCGTCCCGAAACATGTCGAAAGGCCTCGTGTCCTTGGGGATCTTGAAATTGTTTGGAAACAGATCTCACTAACCCAAGTTAAGTTGACGCGCGATAGCGATAGCATATCAATAGCGCTGAGGTAATCAGAGGCCGGGATCTTCGGCTGAAAACAGGAGCGATCTCATTGGTGCTGCCGTAATTCTCCGCTGTTGTCGGCCAATCGATTTGTCGCTGGCGATTGAAGGGCTAGGCAATAACCGGATACGAGATCTTTATTTAACTAGGAAGGTCACTCTGATGAAGTCTGAAGGAATGAAGATCCATAGCTCGACATAAAGTACTTGTATTATCTCAGAATATATTGTCTTCTGTACTTTCAGACATCGCTCCCGGTGATAACGTCCATCTCGTTCAGCGGAACAAGCTTAGTCCGGAAGATCAACTTGTGACCAACAAACATGACGATGAACAGGATCAAGCTGATGTACGCTGTGAAAAAGGAGCTGGTATCCCACTCGATAAACACCTGAAATCCGCTCGTAATGATAATCAGCACGCTGAAGAACAGACCATACCAAGATAAATATGGCTGCAAAGGCGCAACGTAGGGTAATTCGGATCGAGAAATCCCTTGAAGAGCCAGGGCCTTCATGAAGCGAATGTGACAGAGCGAAATGATAGCCCATGCGATAAATCCCGCAACAGAGGTAATGCTCAAGAACCAGTTGAACACAACAGTTCCGTCGTTGGACAGATTGAGGAAAGACAAAAAGCCGACAGCGGCGCAAACACCGACGGCATTATAAGGCGTTCCGAATCTGTTGGTCTTCTTCAGAAATGCTGGGGCGTGGCCCGAATCTGCCAGAGAAATGAGGATGCGGCTGCTGGAATACACATCCGAGTTTGCAGCAGTCAATACAGCAGTCAAAAGAACCGCATTGAGGATAGAAGGTAGTACTGGAACACCTGCCAGTTGAGCCACAATAACCAGAGGAGATGCCGAAGCGTCTTGTGATTCGCTGAGGAGGTCTTTGTTCGTCGATGGGATATTGAGACCGAGGAAGAACACGGTCGCGACGAAGATTGAAAAGACGCCCCAAAATGTCCAACGCATCGCAGAAGGGATCGTCTTGCGCGGATCCTTGGTTTCGCCTGCACCGATGGCCACCAATTCTGAGCCCTGATAACTGAAACCAGCGGTGATCAAGACCGACCAGAAGCCGACGAAACGTCCAACATCTCCCTCGACAAGATGCTCACTGAATGCTCCAGGGTCTTTCCAGTACTTGAAGCCGAGATATCCTTGATCTCCGACGCCAGCATTGACACAAATCGAAAAGATGATGAAGCCAATGATTGTGATGACTTTTATGCTCGAAAACCACATTTCGAACTCTCCGAACCAACGAACAGGCATGAAGTTGGCAGCAGTGAAGAGGACCCAAAATACAGCGATCCAGATACCGATGTTCAGTCCCTTCTCCCAGTACTGGATGATCAGTCCCGCGGCTGTTAACTCGAGCGCAAACGTAATGGTCCAGCTGAACCAATAAATCCAACCCATGGCAAAGCCAAATGTTGGGTCGAGAAAGCGCGAGGCGTATGTTGTAAAGGCACCTGCAACGGGGATATATGCTGCCATTTCGCCTAGGGCTGTCATTACCGCGAAGAGAAGACTTCCGACGAAGATAAAGGCTATGAGGAGGGAGACGGGGCCGGCTGTTGCAAGGGCGTTGCCCGTGCCGATGAAGAGACCTGTACCAACTGCGGCGCCGATGGCGATGAATTGGAGGTGGCGGCCATGGAGAGCGCGTTCAAGCTCAGTGTCGTTGGTGCCATGCTCGATGGACTTGGTGGAGGGGGTCGATTCGTTTACCTCGGGGTGAGGGTCCGTCTTGGCTTGAATATCCATGGTCATGTAGTTCGTCATGGTGTGAATGACATGAGTGCGGCCGCTTGGGAACCAGACGGCGAGAGAGCTTCCTTTTCACTCCTCTGGGCAGCCGATCTCGGGCCATCTGAAATGGCAAGTCATGTCCGAATACTCGGGGCAACGTACGAGTGATTGTGCATCTTGTCGATGAAAGGCGAACATGTGGAGTCATGGAATCACAAAATTCGATATCCATTATATAATAGCTTAGTGAGATGTCTTCGCCATTCCCTTCTACCCCAGTTCCAGAACGAACCCCACGGAACATGTGGATCTTGGGCGTTGAGATTCGAGCACCATGATGTCGCCGCATCGCTGCATCACCCGCCTTGGTGCGACATCTTATCAGTCGCCGATCGATAAATAACCTCTTGACATTCTGGAAGCAAAGATTCGACGACAATCTGCGCGTGGCCCTTGTTCTGGATTGAGTGAGCTAGTGAGAGGTCATGTCTAGCCAGGGCGGATGTTCAAGTTGGGCGTGGTGGGGCTTGTTGAGATGTCGCTCTAAGGCGGAGGCTACAGATCTGTGCTTGATTGCCACCTACCATATCAGGAAACCACTTAAGATTGATTGCAGAACTAAGAGAGCCTCGTGATCTGTCCAGCATTTAAGAATTCAAGCAGTGAGATTGTGAGTCTGAGTACACATGGCGCTCGACTACCTATCAAGGTTCACCATCGTTGACTTGAATGTGCCATTTCTAAGCAAGCAGCAGAAAATACACATTCTCAGCTCAATCTATAAAGACAATATCTAATGTCAACTACAGTGGATAGAGGAAGTACTTATTCTCCAGATCAGTCAAGTCCAGCATCGAAACATCCACCTTGACCTTCACAGTCTCGCCATCCACAACCTGTTCGACATATCCTTCACCATGGTTACCGAGCGCTTCCTGTTCGGCAATCCACTGTCGTCGCTCCCTGTTTCTCTTAGAGAGGATGAACCGAATCGTTATTAGCAGAATGGGCGTCAAGGTGAAACTGGCCACGATCTGGACGATCCACGCAGGATAGTAACGCGGCCCTCCGGTCTTCCACAGCTGCGGTGAGATAATATTTGAGATTCCATAGAGCACCATGAACATGGCGTTTCGGGTGAGTCGCTTTGTATGACCGGCACAACTGGACGATACCCAGCCAACAGAGATGATCCATGTTTGCGCGAAGCAATTGGGGGGGAGAAGAAGGCATGCAAGCATAGGAATAGTGTTGCCCCATGGAATAGTGACCATACCAATACTACTTGCGATACAAGGTACGCACCAGAGTGCAGCCCACCAAGCGCTATGACCAGGGAAGAAGCGTATCAGAAGCGAGGCTGTTATGCATGCAAGAATTGCAAACCCGCCAGAAGCGACCCAGACGAGGGTCGATCCTAATGGAGAAACTCCAAGGTCCAGGAAGAGCAAACTCTGCTGGTAAGGGAGATTGTTGGCCAGCATGAGTGTGAAGCCCGAGAAGGCGAACAGCCAGGAAATAGGATCCTTCAAACACTCGTAAAACTGATGCCTCTTGAAGGTCTTCTGCTCGATCGAGCTGCGGGTAGTTTCATGAATGCGACGAATCGTATGGACCTTCTGTTCAGTGGTCAAGAACCATGCAGTTGCAGGGTTATTGGGATACCAGAACCAGGTGATCACTGATAGAACGAGGGATATGCCTCCAGTGATGATCATGAAGAATTTCCAAGGGCTAGTGCTGACTTTGCTATAAAGCAAACCGTACGAAACAAGGCCAGTGAACATGGGCGAGCCGATGCAAGAAGTGTAAAATAGAGGCTGGACCTGGTGGAGCTCCTCAGGCGTAAAGAACATGGACATCGTAATCTCAAGAGCTGGGATGACCGCGGACTCGACGAACCCGAGGAAGAAGCGAAGAGGGATCAGGGCTCCATAGCTCTGGGCCACACAGTGGAGGAGGACAATAACAGCCCATGTAAAGATGATTCCTGAGATGAACGTGCGCAGCGGTAGTTTTTGAATGAGAAGTTGTCCAGGAATCTGACCAATAATGTAACCTGAAAGGGTTAGCTGTGTTGATTGCACAGAATGAGATGACTAACCGGTGTAGAAGAGGGAGTTCAAGTTGTTGTACTCGGAGTTATTGAGACCGGTATCCTTGAAGAGCCCAAGGAGTGTAGCTTGACCCAGCGTGCTCTTATCGACCTGAACCTGGGTGTTAGCGCCAATCATCATTAGCGATCTGTCCTCCTTACATAGAGCATAAAGTCGATGAACGTGACAAGCAAAAGGACGTGGATGTAAATCTTGCGCTTGAGCTTCTTCTTCATCTCGGGAGTAAGTTCCCCAACTTCATGTCCGTGCTTCTCGATAAGATCAAGAGTCTCATCTGCAGCTCGGCCAGAGATAACAGCGCCCTCGTTGAGTGAGCTACTGGAGCTTGCGTTAGCGACCTTGAGGTCGACTTGCTTCTCGTCACTCATGTTGTCGTTTGCACAAAGACGAGTGGCGATAGATGATGAATAGGAATGTAAGAGCAAATGTAAATTATCATCTTGGCGTCCTTCGATGCTCTTAAATATGCATGCAGGATCTGTCAATAATCGGGTGCCGGCAAGATGCCCGGTGACCTACAGGGTCAATATCTTAGGTTTGCAGGGGAGAATGGCTACTGTGGATCTGCAAGCATGAGCCATTCTCATTTTGAGACCATGTGTGACTGTTTCTGGGTTTCCAGAACCTGTCTTGCATGAAAGGCGTTCGACTTTCTCACATGAACCTATCCACTCCTCGCTCTTCGCCATACGGACTAGCAATCACATAATGAAAGTTGCCACAATATGTCGATTCAAGGGCGTCATTGCCCTGCTAGTTGGCTTTCTCGGATAGATCCTGGAGATTCCATCGAACCGCACGGCTGGGTCATGCAAGATATTTAATGCCCCCAAGACTCTAACTCATCCGAGATGATGTTCCACGATGATCTCCCGTCGCTTTGATAAATATGGAGGGCCATTCGCCTGCACACTCTTAACAGCAGAGAGTGATAAAACCGTTTCTCGTTGGAGTTTAGTGTTGTATCATCTCTTTGCGGAACCACTGACTCGGGTCCGACATGCGGCTCCGTAGTGGGTACAACTCAGGTCGAAGCACATTAGTAGATCATTCATTGAGCCAAGCCCATAGGGCTATTACTCGGTAGCTTAAAGTTAGACGGGTTTCTCTTGCGGATGCGAATTGCGCAATTATTCCTTGCAGTAACGTCTTTGATAAGGGCGCGCAGTAGATTATACGTGAGCCCGTTCGGCATGAGTCCGTTATATACACGAGTGCCCACGTGGGCTGATTTCGCAACAAGTAACCATGCAATTATACGATTATTTCCATGTGACCAAATACTTTTCTTTCCGCGCATCACGAGAGATGAAGGAGATGCATCCTGTTAAAGAGTCATTAGCATGCCGACATACCATTTGCCATCAAGGCTAACTTGCCAGTCCTCTAACGGCACTCTCTCCTCCAGCATATTCGCCGCTTGCATAGCCTGGTCAAGGTTTGCTTTGACAGCCAGCTCTTTCAGCCGATCGATGATGTATAGCCTCGCAGGTGGAGGGCAAACTTCAGATCCTGCAGCGTTTGCAAGTGGCCAGACCACATATCGTGAAGCTGTTCGGAACGGTGTATTCAGCAGCTCTAGCGAGTATGGAACGCTGGCTAGCATGTCGTCAATTACATCGCTGGCTTGCAGTGCGGCCTTGATGGGAAGCTGGCTCCAGGTGGCTTTAAGGGGATCATCTTCGTCGGGTTCATTGAGGATGACTTGATGGGGATTTCGATCGAAGACGGTGAATATCCACTCGTTGACTGTCAATCGCATGAGCCTAGCGGTGTTGTAGACACGAGCTGACTGTTGAGACTGATATCTGTGTATAGTATCTTTGTAGGCGCAGATCTCCGTGCCAGGGGCATTCTGTCGGTCTTCCTCGGAAGTGACATTGATAATCTCGTACGGCAGTTGTTGGAAGAATGTATCGACGAACGCGATGGCCTTCTGGTTAAGGTCCATGCACTCCCTCACAAAGTCCGTCGCCAACATGTCCTTTCTGCCAGACAGCTTGGCGAATTGACAGACAAATCCAATCATGTGAGTCCTCGATATATCGAGTCCCGACTGGTCGGAAAGGGCATAATCGAAGAGTTCTAAAAAATCGTCTGCTATCGGGCTTGATTGCATTATGCAATTTGTCAACACATTGATGGCTGTATGGTGAAACAGTCTGCGCCCAAATTCAGTCTGGAATTGTTGTCTTCCTCGCATCACCAAAAGTCTTAATGAACCTTGCACGTGGAGCTCCCAGTTTCTCGTTGAGCCTCGACCTTCGAAGACTAATCCCTCAAAGGTTGAGAGCAACAGCACACGAAGAAGGGTCTTGTCGAGGACGGCCACTTGGAGATCGCTTAGATCTTGGTTTGTCCGAGTCAAGGCTTTGGAGTAGTGGTAACGGGCTGCACGTAATAGGTCCACACGGCGATGTTCGAGAGCTAGAGAGGCGAGAGCCGGGGCGTGAATGGCCTGTATTATGTCATCATCGATGGCGAGAGTAGTTGTGTGTTCATGAAGGTACGTGAATGGGCCGGACTTTGTGAAGACAAAAAGGAAGTACCCTAGTGCAAGTTCTTCGGGGGGACTTGAGATTCGGAGACAGTCTACTTCCATGTCGCTGTGGCTAATTGACTGGTCCGGGGAGTTGTAATCGCTGAATGAGCTATGTGAATCGGGGCTTGCTTGTGTGTTGATACATCTCTGACGTTGTACTTTCCGTATGACGGCTGAGGTTTGGTCTTTGATCTTTACTGAGTGAACGTCTCGATAACCAAAACATGAGATTTTCATCCGCATGCATGTTGAGCAGGAGGGCTTTTTTAGATCACACTGTCGAGTGTTAGATGTTTAAGAAGGAAACATGCATACGGACCATACCTTTCTGCGCTTCTCTCGACAGGGTTCGCATGCTCGCGAAGGTTTGCCGG